TATTTCCACATTGGTGAACAGCGGCTTAATTACAGAACTTTATCTCTGCTAGACAACGCCTGAGAGAGGTTCCCTGGTAACCTCTGTTTCTGCATCTGTCGTCATCCTTAACACAGGGTGAGGAATGCAGAGATGGAATGCAGAAAATTTGTGGGTAAATGCAGTCAATGAATTTTATGTCATATTCAGGGATGTTTGACTAGGTCAGTTGCCTATAGTAGATTAACGAAGGCAGCCATAAGTTCCCAGGTCTCTTTCCACAGCTGTCATTACCGAGCTGAACACTGAAGCCTTGGGATAATGAGGATGTAAACTGATGTAGTTCACATAAAAGAAGCCCATTATTTGATTTGCATAACATTATAGAATGCATCATTTTGTCTGAAAGGGGGATAATTATTCAAGTCTCTCCTGTCACTTTCCTTGCTCAAGCTGATTACTTCTTCATCTTCTTTCCTTGGCCAGAGACATACAAGATCCAAACAGACATGACCTTGCATGTGCTAATCAAGAGAACAAACCTTGAAAGGCCCTAAGCAAGATGGTCTCGTGCTTCTTGCCTCTCAGTTCTGGCTCCCAGACTAAGCAGCAGGAGCAGGCATCCTAAGGCATCCTAAGCCTCTGAGGCAGGCTGCATTCATTTTCCAGGGAGGTCAAGATGCATTTATGCCAGTTCATTTTCTCGTAGAGTTAACCAACCAGTACAGGATACTCCTGATGGACCCCTCTTCTCCCAGGGTTTATCTTGGTCTTGATGCTACTGGGAAAATGGAATGTGAATAGAAAGAAGGCCAACTGATTTGAGGAAGTTGGATTCTTGACAGCCATTTGGCATGGGAAGCTCTCTCTGGAAAACGTCTTCAATTGCTGTGAACATTTTCTGTGTATCCTGACATAGAAAGGCTAAAGGCTAATAGATAAGCACAATTGGGAGTTGATCTGCACTGCATGGCTTCACACTCCTTACAACTGATTCATCCATCCTTAATTTGAGGCAGGGAAAAGTATGCCAGGTTAAGAAACTGTTCAAGATCTTTCTATTAGATTATACAGAAAGAGTCAGCCAACACAGATCCCACTACACATTTGTTGTTGTTGTTGTTTGTTCTTGTTGTTGTTGTTGTTGGTGGTGGTGGTGTGTGGGTGTGGGTGGAGTGGGTGGGGTGGGTTGATGGGTATGCTTTATTGTATTTTGTTTTTGATATCTTTTTAAGATAGAACATGAAGGTGGGTGGGTACTGAGGTGGAGGAAGATCTGGAAGGAGTTGGGGGAGGGAGAAGAATATGATTAAAATATATTGTATGAAATTCTAAAAATTGAAGTTAAAAAATATACATCCTTGGGTTAGTTTTTAATGCTTTGATGGTGCTTAACCTTGCAGCTGTATTAAAAGGCTAAGTTACTGTCTGTGCCCTACTGCTTCCCATTTTGTCCTTGAATGTCAATGTGGATGGTGTCCAGATAAGAGGCCTCCTTTGCTCTTATTTTTCTTCACGGGACTTCGGTGGAGACACCACACCAAGCTGTGTTTGTTTCTCTGCCATTGGGTAGAGAGTGTTGTTTTCTCTCTGTCAGAGACCCTCAGATCCCTGTCTCCCTGGAGCATTCTTATATAGGAAGTTATCCCATCTCTCTATTTCCAATGTCTGAAAACCAGGAAGTACCTCCAGAGCACTTGCCCTGGCCCAGTACTTAGCTGACTGTAAGTGAAAGGTCAGGGCTCTCCCTTCAGCTGTCAGAATCCAGAGTGACACAGCTGGAACCAAGATGGTTGATCCGTGCCTGTTGCAAATTAGTCTGCCGGGTAACAATTTTCTTCCATTCCTGATGGGCACCTTACAGTACTGAATTATAAAACAGAAAGGAAGAGAAGGCAAGGTTATGTAACTGGTTCTTTCAAGGAAACGCCCCAACACCATTCATCAGTTTTCCTTCTGTGGAAACCATAGGCTGTGGTGAGGGCACGTGACTTTTCTAGTCTTCTCCAAGTTTTGCTGGCTGTAGGGAAGAGAATATTGTTGCCTCAAGCCCTAGGAGCATTTGCAACTCTGTCTCAGTGTCTCCACCTTCCACCTTTTCTTGCACATTTTGGGATGAAATAGTCTGTGAATACGAAGATTCACCTGCTGAGTTGTGACACTGACTTGGGTTGGTTCAGACTAAGGGGTCATATCAAGAGCTGCATAGGAGATCATGGTAGCTGTGAAAAGGCTGAAGATACAGGTTTGATGATGAACAAAGCCAGGCTTGTCCTGAGGCCCAGGTCTTGAGAGCCTGGGCGCAGAACAGACAGTTGGGTGTGGCGCCACAGCTCCTGGATGAAACTCCAAGCATTCTCTGTCTGAGTCTCTTTGTTGAGGATTTTCACCATGCTCTAATGTTCTTGTTTATATGATGGTTCTGTCTGTTCGCTGGGAAATGGTACCTGCCACCCACACCATAACAGAGTGAAGACAGCAAGTGACTCTCCAAAGCAAAGGAACTATGGATTATTGAAGAAGTCTGAAAATTGAGGGAGTTCAAGTCACCAAAATCCCCAAATAATAAATATAAAATACTATCTTCAAAATTGTATATGAAGAATGGGAACATTTTTCTTTATATAAAGAAAAGAAAAAACAGAAAGACAGATAAATCACACATTGAGAAGAAAGTTGCACAGAGCTAGCTTGACCACGGTACAAAATAGTGAACAAATTACTTTGATTTGGTTTGCTATTTATAGATTATCCTTAATGTACCATGATTCAACTATGATACTTCATGTTTACCATGGTATAAGAGCAACATGCAATCAACAGAAACTACACTTCAAGCTTTTAATCTTTGCTTGGACAAACACTATGTGGTCCTATTTCTGACAACACTGAGAAGTAGCAGAGTCACAGTCCCAGCCAGCTGTGGAACACCAGCAGAAAGTACCAGTGTTCTAGAGTATGCCATGTTGTGAAAGCGAGGATGCCAGATAGTTAAGGTGATTACATTGTTGGTTTATGATACTTCAATTTACTGTGAGTCTGTTAAGATCTAACATTGTTAATTGAGGAACACCTACAGCTTACACATTTTTGAAGCAGCTAATAAAAGAATCTCATGAATGGTATTGAGCTAGACAAAGAAGAGAATAACATCACCACCCATTTCTCCTATGGCACTTGCTAATCAGAGATATTCTTATCCCAGAAGCAGCTTCCCAGCACTGATGAGCTAAGTCATACCTCTGGGAGGGTTTTGATCACTGGAATTCTGGGTGGTTTTCAGTGGCTATCCAGCTACTTCCAATGTCATTTCCATTTATGACACCAGCTGATTTCCACAATGCTCCCTCACCCTCCGACCAGTATGCTCCTTTGTTATTCAGTCTCTTTCTGGCCTGAAGTGAGTTCCTCACTGTCTTATGGAAGTTGTCAGTTTTCTTGCTGTGGGAGATGTTCTGGAAACCACCGTACATGCCTTACCAGAAGCTAAGCACAGTATGCCAGCTACGAACTCATGGGCATTTAGACAGCGGAGATCTACTTTTCTCCATAGCAGAGACTGTTGAGACAAGGAGTGAATTACAGGGCACTTTAGTTCTTTGCCCACCCGAGAAATGCTGTCCTGAGTCTTCCTAATAGTGGCTTTGTGATTGCCATCATGAAAAAAGAGGAGGGCTTATGCTCTTGATTCCAAGTGGCCTTGTAATGGGGAGCCCTGTCCCTTATCTCCATAGGAGCTCAAGGCAATCAATCACTGGGATAACCTCTGCTTTGCATAGCAATTTCTTCTTTTTGGAAGCATGTCAAGGCCTCTACATCTCTTGGTATTTTGAAAATACTTAACAATCTAAACAGAGGTTCTAGTCCTCTCTCTGACATATGCTATGAACACTAGACCACTGGCAAGATTGTATTTTAGAAATGAGCCTTGACATGATATGTTTTCTTGGAGTCTGACATCAGAAAGGGCCAGTTGTAGCCATCATCTTGCCCAGCACATTGACACCCACAGAGTCACAAATAGTACTTCAGTGTATACCCTCATTGGGCATCTGGTAGAGCTCTTTTCCTGGACACTTGTCCATTTCACTCGGGTGTGGGGTGGGACTGAGGGAGCAGCTGACATCTTCCTTGAGCTCTCAAGCATAGTGACGACCTTGATTCAGTCTAACATTGAAGATAGAGCTTGAGTTAACTGGAGAAGAATTACAGTAGTCTTTATTTTCTTTTCTCAGCAGATAAATAAGCCAAAGGTCTTCTTTTATGTCCCCCACTGTGGTGAGACAGGCTTTTGGATGAGGATTGCCCATTTGGGAAACCTCACACCCTCTTGACACCTCACTGTCCCTGCTCGTCTCCCCACTTAAAGACCCATGCCCTATGGTGCCCATGCCCAGATGGTGATATGCTTACCCTCTGGGATGAACTAGAGATTCTACACAGAAAAACAAACAAACAAAAAACAAGGTTCCGGGTAGGACAGTGTTGCTTTTCCATATCTGACTCCAGATATCCTCTGACACTCGTGGGGTCGGTGACTTATGAGGCAGTGGAATTATTCTAAACCCACTCTTTGTGTAAGGCAGAGGTGACAGTATCAAGGCCAGGAAGGATGTTAATTCAAACTGCAAATGCATGGGGCATATTAGGGGGCCCAGATCATTCCTCTATTTTCCTGGCACTGTATTTATCTTCTGTTTTTTACCGGGTCTTCGAAGCATCTTATCATGGGGTTACTCCTGGGTGTGTCAGGGATTCTAAGCTGAGTGCAGTGGGAGAGGAAAGAGGCTTCTGATGCCTGCTGTCCAGGTCACTGCTTTATAAGGATTAGTGTTCTTGAGTATGGATTCCCTAGATAACCAAGGGTTGACCATCTGGTTGAGGGAAGGTGGGAACCATGAGGGATACTCTATCTGGCAAGCTGAATAGGCCTGGTGCCTCCAGGTATCCAGATTTTGCAGCACAGAATTTTGCAGTCAACTTTGAGGATGTCCTTTAACCTTCCTGTACTCTCTCTTCAGGACAAAGAGGTGAATCTGGAGCAGGTGCACCGGCGCATCAACAGTCTCATGGATGAAGACATTGCTCACAAGCAGATTTCCCCAGCGTCCATTGAGCTCTCTGCCCTAGAGATGGGGGGCCTGGCTCCAAGCCAAGCTTTGGAGCCCACACGGGAGTACCAGAACACCCAGCTCTCAGTCAGCACCTTTCTGCCTGAACAAAGCAGCCATGGCACCAGCCGGACACTGTCGTCAGGGCCCAGCAGCAACCTGCCGCTGCCGCTGAGCAGCTCAGCCACCATGCCCTCTATCCAGTGCAAACACAGGTCGCCCAATGGGGGACTGTTCCGACAGAGCCCTGTGAAGACCCCCATCCCTATGTCCTTTCAGCCCGTGCCTGGAGGTGTTCTCCCAGAGGCTCTGGACACTTCTCATGGCACCTCCATTTGACCGTCGCCTGCCCTCCTGCCCGTCTGCCCACCCACCCGACCAGCAGAGCTTTTTAATACAAGAAAATGACGACACAGACCACACACACACACACACACACACACACACACACACACACACACACAGACTCTTTCATTTTTCTTGTACATAAATGTAAATAATGACAGAATGGAGTGGGGTAAAAGTGTATTTTGAATATTCCCAATTTTCGAAGTCAGTAAAAAAAAAACAAAAAAACAAAAACTGTATGAATGACTTTGTAAATTTTGTTCTATATGAATAAAAAGGCAAATTACTTGTGATCATTCTGAAGTGCCAAAGGAGCCCCCTGTTCCTGGGCCTTTCCGAGGGCAGGAAGGACCATCTGAGAAGAAGCTCCTGGCTGCTGGGGAGAAGGAAGACGTGGAGGAGCCCCGAATGCTGCTTGCTGCTGTGCCCACAGCTCTCCCTCTTGTCCTTTTCTCACAAGTCCTCATTCTTCCTTCGGTGTCCTTGGGTAGAGTCCGTGTGTATCTGAGTCTAGAGCCCATGTTGGGTGGACCCATCCGGTCCCTGAGCTGTAGAGTAACCTGCCCTATCATGGCCCTGGACAATCAGGCTCAAGATGCTGAGGTCACTGTGTGTCACAGTGTGTAGCATGTGACTGTCCCCAAGGCCTCAGAAAAGATGCCCATATTGAGGTCACAGTCTCTGAGGCTTTGATACCTATGTGTTTATTATCTTTTTTTTTTTAAAACTCTTTTTCTACTTAGAAGAATCAATCAGTGACAGACTATAGGGAAGAAGGGCAGACAGCATCTAGGTAGAGGTAGGACTGGCCTGAGTGGGACATCTTTGATTATAGGTTGCATTTGTCATAGAGATTGTAGGATGGGGGGTGAGAAACCAGGTAAAGACTGTTCTCTTGGATTAGGGTCCATAGCCCTGAGCAAAAGAAAAAGTGTAGTTACAGACACATGGAGTAGAAGCATCATGGACACAGGTAAAAGGCTTCCACTGAAAGGAGTTGGAGGAAGTTACTCCAAATGATGGAGAAATTGGGGATAAACAAGAGGGACCACATGGGGAAGAAGCTTGACTCTTTGGAGAAGCATAGCAAAAGACTCATGTGCCCTAATGAAACTATCCTTAAAGACATGCCTTTAGCTCTTTATGAAGTCGGCTACACAGGACCAGATCTCAGCACTAGCCCTTTCTCCAGACTTACTGTGTTGTCAACTCCGGGAATCCTCAAACAATAAACCAGCCCATAGCAGGGATCCTTCAGGCTAGAAGCATCTTATATCCTCAGAGATGGTGAATTTGCTGGGAAGTCCTGTTTGATAAAACTAGGCTAAGCTACAGATCTTACCTCTCTACACTGCTCTTTGTGGGGTAACTAAACTGTAGAACCAGCAATGATCTATCAGGAGGAGTCTGAGCTGTATTACTTAAGTTGCTTCCTCTTGTTTTGAAGACCAAGGTGTCTCTGATCTCCTACACTGCTGTGATGTAGAACGTAACCCCATCCAGCTCCAACCCTCATCACCAATAGATGTGTCAAGATCTTGGTCTGTGAAGAAATAAAAAAAAAAAATCCCGTCAGTTGCTTCTTCTGTACTTCTATGTTCTTGTAGAGTTAGTTGAGAGAGATATTCCATGAAGATAATAACTCTCACCCAAGATGAATTTATTTCCCCAAATCCCTAATGATGTTAATGAAGACAAAAGAGTGACTGTATCACACAGTTAGCTAAAAGCACCAGAACAAAACAAGACAATGTTCATAGTTATATATCTTTGGCTACTGGGAATTCCATGATGCTAGTGTTACTGGAGTGATTTATCAACATTTCTCTAGTTAGTATGTGGACCTTGAAGACAGGTGTGCATGGCAAAGCCTGGGTTGGCTACCTAGGTTGTATAGGCTTTGCTTTCATTTCATCAGCACTTTGGGCAACTTGCAGTAGAGGGTTAATTTTTCATATATATATATATATATATATATATATATATATATATATATATATATGTATAAAATCATTTTAAAAGTCAAACTCTTGTTTCACTGCCTTATCTTACACCTGTCTGTATCCCAAAGATGACCTGGTTTCTTTGGTATACCATAGATATGGATGTTTTTGGTTCAGAGTAAAACACTCTGTGTATGTGTGTGTGTATGTGTGTGTAAAGAGAGAAAAAGAGAGCGGGAGGGAGGAGGGGAGAGAGAGGGTGAGAGAGAGAGATTATCTTTGCAAGAAAAGTATAATGCTTCTGGATGTTCTAAACACCTAGCAGTGTTATTATTACCATATTTATGTTGTTTTTTTTTTATTTCCCTACCCTTGGCATGAGGGGAAATGATTGATATTCAAGCAAGTTCTCTAGGGGGAGACAACAACAAAACCCAGATTCTTCCCAACTCAGATATCTGTGTCAGCTCAGAATGTATCTTTTTCATGCTTTGCTCTGTGGATTTATAACTCTGTTTAGACTCTTCCATACATTTTAGGTATATTTTGTGCCTTCAGACACTGCAAATAATAATCAGCATTTGGATTAAAGTTGTTTAATAATAAAACTGTCTGCTCCTAATGCTCTTATTCTCTGGGATGTGAAGTGCACTCTGTTTCTGGGTGTGCTACAGCCAGGCACTGAATTCTGCCTGCTTGCATGCACAATTGTTGGGGAACTCTTTAACCCAGGTGGGTCTCAGGTAGGCATGGGGATAGACCATAGCCCTCTTTATGCTGTATATATCCAGTGTCCACTGATAGAGGCCAGCAGGCAGTAGGAGGACAGACTGGGCAGCAATTCTAGACTTTTGTTAGTTGATGAACTTCCTTAGAAGATCGAGTTCTTGGAAAACTCTTGGGGAGAATGAGGCCATAACACACAGTGCATTATGTACCCCCTTTCTTGTGCCAGCTGGCTATTTTGTTTTCATCATCTCTGTGTTCACTCTGATCATAGAGCACCCTTACATATGCATGTTAAGCTCTCATGGGACCTCGAGTTTGACTTCACAGTATATGCCCTTTACAAGGTCTATGTTTCCTTTCTCTCAAGGACATGTCCCACACTTAGTTCTCTCCTTGTTCTGGATTCATTCTCCACAACCTGCCTGATGCTTGTGCTTCTCAGCCTCACCAGCATCTTAGTGTTCTCTTTGGTTTCTGGAACTTCATGGAGAAAAGAGCCTTGGGGTAAGTCAGCATGACCTGAGAATGCTGGTTCTCATGATAAAGACCTCAACTTCTGGAAACCCAAAGAAGAATGCCATGCCAGGGCCTTGCTCTTCCACTTTGGCAGCAATATAAATTTCTCCCATATAGGGGGCAAGGTCTTCAGACAGGAGATGGGACTAGAGGAGAAACTTTCCTACATTATCTAGACAGACAGATGGACCAGACACGGGTGGCTGGAATAACCCTTTAAACTGCTTTCTTAAAAAAAAAAACAAAAAGCCCCACTCCTAAATTCTATAAAGTACAAATCATATCAAGGCAAAAAGATACTATATTCTATACTTAATCATCTCTTCATGCTCTAATGGGAGAGCAGTGACACACAATTTGGAGAGGGCCACCAGGTCTAATGGCCTTGACAATGGGTATTTACTTCCTGTGGCCTCTGCTTCTTCATTTAATAACCTCTTAGCTTAATAACATATAAGAAACCATAATAAATATTTCAACAATATTAAATATTATAATTACATCTTAAGTATAATTAAGTATCTCACATAATAAGAGATATGGACCATGTCTTTTGTGGTAACTTGGTTCTCTTGTATCTCTGCCTTCATTTTTCAGTAAACCTTCATTTTCCAAAATACATGCTCATGGATGGGCCCCTATGTCTTAAAGCCTTGCATTGTACTCCTTAGATTTGGCCAGACAAGATCAGATAAAAGCTAAATAATCTTAACTTCTCTTTTTAATTTAAGCCTTTCCTGGCTGTAATCATAGTGAATGAGGCAGCATTTCTTTTCTAATACTTTAAAGCATTCTTTCTCGTTTCATACCATTACTTGTTTTCAACAAATTAATTTATACTTGATTCTTATCCTCAGACCAAGAGATTGTAGATAATAGTTCTTTTCCTTGTCAATAACCTTATTCATTGCTTTATTTTTCTCTCTCAGCAGTATCTTAGTTAGAAGAGATTAGTTAGGAAAGAAGAGCACAAGGCTCACATAGAGCAGGCGAGCTCATAGGCCCTGCCTACAGAAGATGGGGAGAGGGTAATTTAATTGTTGCTGCTGCCTGATACCCTCCAAGCCCCACAATCTGAACTTCATACTGAGCTCCAGTGCAGCAGGCATCTTCTTTGCAGCAAGAAAAGCTCAAGCTATGGAAATCTGAAATGACAGTGGCCAGTCTCTGAAAAAGAGGCCATCAAACAGGCCCCTTGACAACTTAGGGTGAGCAATTAAATGCTATTCAAAGAATACTCAATGGCTGGCACAGATTCCAACTTGCAGGTTCCAGAAGTAACTAGGTATCAAAGCTCAAAAACAAAAAAGTGTTCACTAATACCAATATATTGAAACTTATTGACACTCAAATAATATACCTGGGCACACTGACATGTATGCATGCTCAATTGCAATACATTTATGCAGACTTGTTCACCCTATCCAGCGCATCCATGAAGCATTTAAAAAGCAAAGCATCATGGGCTTGAGTGCTGCAGAGCTGGGAAACAGTGTCCAGGGGAAGAAAGATGCTGCTTGAGGACATTTCTGCCCAGTGCACAGCTCAATATAACAATCAACCAAGCAGCACTGTTCAATCAACTGCTAAGGAACAAGGCTTATCTCTGGGAAAGTGGCTCCTTTCCTGCTGGGCATCTTAGGGCACACAGCCAACCCTTTTGTTATTAAAACCTTACTTTCTTACTCTGAAATCCTGATTTTTCAGGCCAGTGAGATGGCTCAGAGAGTGAATGTTTGCTGCCAACTCTGCAACTCTTAGTTCAATCACCAGGACCACAAAGTGGAAGCAAAGAACCAAATTTCACAAGGTGTCCTCTGTCCTCCCCACTAAGCACACCAAATAACTAACAATAAACTAAATAAATAAATGTAATTTTAAAATTCAGTAAAGAATTTAAGAACCCTGACTCTTTTCCAGAATATCTGAAATATGCACAAAAGCCCAACCATTCTTCAAGACAGCTTGTTTCTATATAAGATCTACAATTGTATTCATATCAGTAACTGTTTTATTGATGATGTATCAATTTCCAGGAACTCTACTATACCGTCTGTATGGAACTTCTCTTTTTTTTAGATCAGCGATTCAAGGTAGATATTGTTACCTAAGAGTTATATGTAGGGAAATTTAAAGTATGTGTTCCCAGAGTCAGTGAGTACACACTCTACTAATGATGCTGTAGTGCTTGCATCTGCTGGATGCAGGTACACTTATCCACTGGACCCAGGTTGGTCGTTTCTGTCCGAGTGTATAGTGTCATGGGCACTAATGGATATTCTTAGCTTCTATATACATTACCTTGTCCTTGGTGACCTCAGAGTATACAGGTAAAAGTGATGACATGTTGGCTACTCTTGATTGTCAACTTGATAGTACTGAGCAGGACATAGGAGATTATTAGAGCATACTTCCATGTATTCTCATAAGGTGTTTCCAAAGGACATTAACTAAGGAAGAAGACATGCTCTGGATATCTGTGGGGACCTTGCATGGACTGGGGGCCTGTGTTTAATACGGGAAGAAAACAAAGACCACTCACTGTAATCAATGTGTTTCTCTGGCCTTAGCCACCTTAATGCATGCTGCTCTGCTCCAGCACACATTCCCTGCTATGGTGGATTGACACTGTGAGCCCAAAGAAATTTCCTCTTTTAAGTTGTCTTGTCAAGAATTTTGTCCCAGCCATGAAATGACTAACACATGAAATTGGCACTAAAGAAGTAGGGTCATTGCTGTGATGAAGCCTGACCGTGTGATTCAGAAGCCTCAGGAACTAGTTTGGCACATGGAGGGGTGGATACTGAACGATGTAAAGATGCAGGCTAGAGGATTCCTAGAATGTTGGGAGAGGAGCTGAGTGATTCTGGTGAGACTTCCAAAGATCAGAATGTCAATAGGGTTGCAAACAGTGAGCATTGTGTTCATGAAGCTTCAGATGGAATTGATGACTCTTGTGGGTCAGAGAAGAGGCTATTCATGTTGGATGCTGGTCTGCATCTTGTCTTTATCACAAGACCTTGTTAAATACTATCCTTAAAACTGATGAGTTACTTAATATGATGGAGGAAATATCAAGGCATCCTAGCATTCAGGCTGCCACATGGGTATTGCAGGCTGATTTTAGCCAGGTCCACAGTGATAGTCATGAGCAGAAAGCAGAGGAAGAGTCTGAGAACTAACTGGTGAGATTGTTCAATTGGCTAGACCCTACCTACCTTAAGCTCAATGGTGTGAAGGCTTTAATTTATTTGAAAGATGAGTTTGTTTTGAAAAGAAAACTCTGGAAACCCCGTGCACAGGGCCATCTAGAGAAAAAAAAGCATTTCCCAGTGTTCAGCAACCAGCCACTCAGAAGTCACTGCAGCTGTGACCTAAGGGAGTCTAATTACTGCTCGGCCTAGATGGTGGCAGACCTTAATGTCATCATTTGATTTTAATTTTGTGTGTGTGCAGCATTCAAGAGTTTCAAGGTCATGTAGACTATCTGGGAAGCAAGCAAGGAGTCAGGATTCCTGCAGGCAGCCTCTGAGAGGGCAGTGTGAAAATGCAAGACTGGGGTCACGGTGGTGACATTGGGCATTAGAGTTGGCAGGAGCAGGGAACACCTGCTTGGTAAGGAGAGCTACAGGATGTGAACATACCCAACCCAAGAGAGAGGCCATGTAGGTTGCCAACTGCAAGGCTATAGGGCTTTGGAGGCTGGGTCTCATACCACATTATTATGGCTCCAGATTCCATCAATGCGGCTTTAATAATTAATGCCTTTCTCTGCTGGGTTTTCATCTTGCTTTGGTCCTTCCTACTCCTTCTTTCTGTTCAGAGTGTCTACACTAATGACTATTCTCCATTTATCATAGGCTTCCAGCCTATGGCCTGATACCTCCAATATTCTTGGTACATCTTTCCCCTTAGCTAGTCCACTTTGGAATACCCTCATGGACAACTGTAGTATGCTCCCTTTGGAAAGAGAACGTGTAAGTTATGTTATTGGATTGTGAAAATATGTAATTTATTTCTGACTAAATAGGAGCTAGTGGATATGTCTTTGTCTTTGGTCTCAGAGAATACTGGGGTTGTAGTTTTGAACAGTGTTGGAACGGTTAAGATAACAGTGACTCTTGGAGATGACTTGATAAACATTGCATTGTGAAATGGACATTAGCATTTGGGGAGCAGGACTAGAATGTTATGGTTTAAAAAGATGTGTTTGGCTGTCAGAATGGCAGGAGGTAGATATGTGATGGTAATCCTGTTAACCTGATGAGATTGAGAAGCAGCTAGGAGATTAATAAAATAAAGTTCTGGGCGTATCTATGAGAACATTTCCAAATAGAGTTACCTAACAAAGGGAAACACACTC